TGGCTTTGCTTGAATAGTTGGTCTTCTCAGACCATTAAAAATTATATTTCAACATTTGAGGTAGGCTATATGATCACACCGGTAATAGATCAGTTGTTGTATTATTTGTGAGGCACAGCTAAGCGAGCATAAATTAAAATAATTTGCTTTTTTTATTTTATCGGGGGGGGGGCTGTGCCGTGCCGATATTCACACCTTAATACTGCCATAAATTAAAGATTGAGAATCTATATCTGGCCCTGTAGTATGGTGAAAGGAATGTCCTTTGTTTCAGATACTTTTGCTGCCCAAAACTTCAACATCCGGTAAATGAACATTGGGACAATATATTTCAACATCCAAACGTTGGGAATGATGAGAAATGGAATATGGAAAATTTATGTATATTTTGTGATGTCATTAAATTTTTTATAAATAATATAATAATAATAACATGCCATTTAGCAGACGCTTTTATCCGAAGCGACTTACAGTCATGCGTGCATACATTTTAACGTATGGGTGTTCCCGGGGATCGAACACACTACCCTGGCGTTACAAGCGCCATGCTCTACCAATTGAGCTACAGAGGACCATATTATAACGAAAACATTGTGACTTGAAGAGCTTTTACACTGTGTATATCAGGTTTACATCCTTTACCTTGTGTAGAAAATATCAAGGAGGAAGACAATGTTTTCGTGAAGATAGGAATGTGATTTTAGCTTTCTAACAAAATCATAGTGATAATAATACTTTTGCCTCGTAACTAGCCACGCCCGAGGGAGCTCAGAGGTCGTGTCAGTATGACGGAAACGCCCCTCTATACCAGAGTGCATAAAAGACTGAGATAATAATTATTAGATCAGACTAGACGGACCTCAAGCTGCAGCTGTTGTTCATATTGGTCCCGTCCCTGAAAATCAACATGAGGTGAAGACGACAAAGTTGCCTCCTCTAACAATCAATGTTACGGCTGAGTAGCTGTTCTAAGTACTGTATATAAGAAGGTGAATTTAAGTGGGACCATCCTGTTACTCTCTTCAAACCATCGTCTACCAAACTGCTCTCACACCCCACAGGGGATCATCGACACAGCTGATTAGCCGTCCTCAGAAGACCACTTCCAGAACGAGTGAAAGTAAACAGACAACTAAGAAGAAGGACATTGTGACCTCTTGTGGACAATCTGAGCCTGACATCTAAAAGGCCATCCGAAAGAGAAGGCTCAATTGACCCCTTCCCACGAAGGCCTGGGTCCAACAGAGACGACAAAGACAAACACGTAAATACATGCATTACTTCTTACCAAACGGGCGGCAGTTCTGGCAAAGTACTAGGATTACTATGAGCTTAGGTCCATGTGTATCCAAGTGTTTCTCTCTCTCTCTCTCTCTCTCTCTCTCTCTCTCTCTCTCTCTCTCTCTCTCTCTCTCTCTCTCTCTCTCTCTCTCTCTCTAACTCGCCATCTTTTGTAACAAGTGTCATATTGTGTTAGTCCGCTAGGGACCCGTTTTCATATACCGTGTATGTGTTTGTATCTTGTGTTATCATTTTTAGTTAGTTAGTAAATAAATAAATAATTAAATACATTTGTGTGGTACGGAATGATCAGTAAGACCCGGGTTCGTGCAGACTGAAAGAGCCTACGACTTTCAGAATGAGACTGATATGAGGTAAATGATTAATAAATGACTGTTAAATGATAAGTGATTAATTTAATCTAGTAACAATTAAACATAGTAGGTAATTATTCGATAAATAATAGTAATCACAATAATGAAAGACACGTCACGACAATGCACACACACATACACACATTCGCGTGCACACACATACCCTCATATGCAAACACACGCGCATACACACCACTAACGGGGACTGTATCACTGGGGGTCCGTCCATCACAACCCACGTGTCACAACCCACGCACAGTGGGCTTCTGGGTATGTGAGCACTGTCTCCTGTCTTCTGGCCACGCTCAGGGTACTAATGATGGGAGGAAATGTAGCTACTTTATCGTTAGATGAACACTAATGCATACACAGGACACGCTCACTTAAGAGATACAAGGCACGTGCCAGACACAGGCATACAGACCATGCTTAGGCTCTTATGAACACAAACATAATGGATGAAACAAACAAACACACACACACACACACACACATGTGGTGTGTGAACACTCACACTGAAAAAACACATTACTTAATCCACATTGAAGTATGTGCAACATACAGTTCATGTTTGTACAAAACATTCATAACACAATCTCCTACTATACACACAATGTGATATTTGCTCAGTGACCCTGTAAAGAGCATGCCTTTTCAGGAGTCAGCATTGTTTGTGGCCAGCTGGCTCAGTAAAACAATCATTTGAGGGAATATTCCATCCTGTGCCAGAGATGATTAGATTCATGCCATTAAAGTGGTGCATTACGTAAACCCTCAGCCTGATGTTTGCTGGCTCAGGGGCTTAGGGCCAGTACCTCACTATGAACTAAGTGGAGTGGACACATGAAAACCTGGGAGAGGACTTGAGTCAATGAGTAGAATAGAGACTAAGTTACCTTGTTGAACCACTGGTGTCTATCTGTAAGTGGAACACAGTCTGAGCTGTCTGAGCTGCTTGAGCTGGGAAGAGATGACAAAAAAAAAATCTTATTATGTAAAAGATTTCCAGAATTATGACTTTGCTGTTAATCTAATGAAAGGACACAGACTAAAATGTCAAATAGCAACATGATCTCATACACATACATTATGCTGTACCCAAGGGATTGGAATATTGAGTGTTCTATTCCTGGTCCTCCAATGTTTGGAGTGTGTCTGTTTGCTCTGTGTCTGTTCATCACTAAAACGCTGGCAGAAAAGGCGAGCGTAACAACTGACACAGTGTGCCAAACCCCAGACAGAACACTGACCTTTGCCTTAGTAATTCCCTGGTATTACTGTATTAGTGTGTTGGTGTGTGTAGTTTCTGGAGTGGCTGGCCTGCCTCTCAGTCAGACAGGCATCTATAGAGAACCCTAAATGCTTTTCCTCTGTCTTAGGAGGAGGATATTATATTACACAGACACACCCATCTATGTATGTACTGTATCCATAATATCTCGATCATTATATTTTATTTTGCATCTGGGATATAAAAAGCAATCAATCCTAACATTGTCAAAGTGCCAATCTTAAACATATTACAAATAATTACACACAGACATGTGCCTGATTTCTTGTACGGACTTAGCAGTTCATTTAATTTAAAGACACAGACTCAAAGTAATAAAGATGCAATAAAGAGTGTTAAAGGTCTTTAGCTTCGTTTTGTGTATTTTACTCCCCTCTGAAAATGGGGGTAGTGAACATTGCACAGGTGCAAGCGCTTAGTAAATCTAGGCCCATGTTTGATGGATTCTAATGTAAACAAATACAATTCAATGCTTCATTAGGCACATAAGAGTCCTGCGGGAATTCATTCTGAGAAGGACAGTACATTATGGAAACTGTATACACATAGACCATTATAGCGCCTAGTCTCACCCGCCCTTGGTACGAGTGAGTAAGTGAGATTTCTCTGAGAGTAGACAATGACATGGTATCTCTATACACTTGAACAGGGAGTGTCATAATTGCCTATGTTCCAAATACACTGACAATTCCCACAGTAAACCCAGATCTGAAAGCACTAGATAGGTGAAGGCCATATGGAGAAAAGACTTCTGCCAAATCCAGTCCTCTCAAATCTGTGGGATTTGGAGTCAGATGTCAAGGACAGGGATTTATTAAGTATGTTTGGACATACTGTAGCAACTATCTCACGTCATCTCCTAAAGCCATATGCACATCTGCCCCTACCCATGCCAACTACCCCATCCCCCTACCCCAACCCCCAGCCCTGGTAGTACAGATTTCCCCTGATTCCTGTCAATGGAGTGGACGATTCTCATGGGGGACTGGTACGGAAAAAAGTATGAAAATGTGTGCACTCACTACTGTACGTTGCTCTGGATAAGAGTGTCTGCTAAATGACAAAAAAAAAGTGTCTTGACTACAGACTTAGCAGCAGTCATGTTAATTCTGTGGATGTGTATCTGCTTTTTTCTTAAGTGTAATGTGAAAGTAATATGGTGGGCATATTGTTTACTGCCTCTCACCATGTTTACACATAGTCATGGGGGGCGGTGCTTTATTGGGGTATAGATGTGGAACGTGCTTATTGTATTGTCAGTGTGTAAGTGTTGCAGCCTGGTACAGAGTTGTGGCTTGACTAAAATAAAAGTCCTGGAACCCAGGACTCCCTGGGAAACAGTGGCAATTGTTTGTATTTGGAACATAGGCAATTCTGACACTCCCTGTTCAAGTGTACAGAGATACCATGTCATTGTCTACTCTCAGAAAAATCTCACTCACTCATACGTACCAAGGGCGGGTGAGACTAGGCGCTATAATGGTCTGTGTATACAGTTTCCATACAGTACTGTCCTTCTCAAATTGAATTACCGCAGGACTATCCTGGCTAAATAAATAAATAAATAGAAAGATGCTTGGCCTCCCAGAAGATAGGCTGACCTCCAGCTGCTCTCCTTGGTGTGCTGAGAGCAGAGCTAGAGTGGATTAAGCATTTCTGGGGGATTACTGGTGCTACAGATAGTTTAACCCACAGTCAGGTGCATATAAGGAGAGAATGAGGCTAAATGAAAGTATACAGCTGCACAACAACAGGATCAACTGAGGCAGTAGTACCAATATCTGGTCTGTGTTGTGGCCTCAGAAAACTAAGGGCTGGCTGATCTTCCTCCATACACTCACACCAGAGTGTAAGGGAATGGATTGAGTAGAGGAGTGTTTAAAAGTAGGGATGGAGAGAGGTTAGAGGTGTGAGAGGAAGAGAGAGGGTTCCAGGATGGATGGATGACTTGATGAGGTACTGTGAAGTTATCTGCTGTGCTACTTAGGTCACACCTTCTGTGACTGTGGATTGTGCTAGGAGAGTCTGTGATACTTTAGTTCACCCCAGACACGATGCCCACTCCGAGTCTGCTCCACTGTCTGATTAATCACATGGGTCTGATTGGGGTAGGCATCTGGAGGTGAGAGGTTTGGCTGGCGTTCAGTCTTCATCAAATCCTGTGGCCCAGCTGGTCTGCTGAGACATCCCTCTCACCCAAACATGGGTTATTTATCAGTACTTGGCAGAGAGGTGAATGGGGCTGGGCAGGGTGAAGATCCATAGCTGATGATGGGTGAGTGGAGCTCACTAGATCTCAGAAATGTGTTGACTTTTTCCATATATTGGATGGTGGATAAATGAGGATAAAGGTCACTTCCATAACTATAATCTGTGCTATAATCATTACCCTGACTACTAGTAATATCAGGGTTTCAGCATAGTCCTCAGCAGAGAGGCTGGTAATGGAAAGGTCACATTGAACTCTGAACCTTGACCCCATTCAGGGTAAGTACTACAGGGCTTTGTGGAGTTGTCTGTGACATGGTGACCATGGTAACAGTAACTTGGGGCAGCGGTGGGAGGGGACAGATGGGGAGGAGGTTCAGGGGTGGGTTGGTAGGCGTGGCTTTATACATTAGTGTTCCACTCCTCTCAGATATCAAAGGCTGAAATAAAATGTGTGTAGAGGACAAAGGAGAGAGACCACATGAAGGAGCATTAATAATACATTTTACATTTTAATTAAGAACAGTATCGTGTTCCTTGGCAAAATTATGACAGAATGGTTGGCTACCCTCCCCTCTAAACATGTTGTGAGTGTGTTGTAAAGACTGATTTGATGGACCAGTGTGTTATTGTAAAACAAGTGCTCCCATTTATCAGACGCCATTGGGTTATAATAGCTAGCCAACATCAGAGATAGGACCTTGGTGTGCACTCTGCATAAAAGTTTAATTATGGCTATACTGTCTCGTGTCATCTCGTCTCTGCCACATCACTTTGGCTGCGTTTACACAGGCAGTCCAATTCTGGTATTTTTCCACTGATTGGTCTTTTGACCAATCAGATCAGCTCTTTTGTCAATAATTGGGCAAGAGATCAGAATTGGACTGCCTGTGTAAATTCAGCCTTTCTCTATCCTCCCAGTTAGACCTGCTCCCCTATTTATCTGCTCCTACCAGCCTGTGTATTTAGCTCGGGCAGGAGAGGGGCCCGCAGAAGGTCAATATACATTTACACAAGTGCCCAGTGCAGTATTACTGTGGCAACATCAGCACAAACTCATTTCCTATCTATCTTTGAACATCTTTATTACCCCATCATTGATTTATAGCCTATCAGTCCTGTTGCCGTGTGGCGAGGGTAACACCGTGCATCTGTTTGCCAGGGATAATGCCTTTTTGCCACACAGCGATTGCACCACTAATTAATTTGAATGCAAAAAACTTCCCTGTTGTTATTGTCAGTTGAGACTGGGAGACCACAGTTTTTAAAACTTTGGTGAGGGCTGTAATCCACAACTAAGGTGGCAATTTTTTACCTTAAATGCTCGGTAAAGTTTTCAAATAAATTTACACACTTTTTTAGAATACTTATGAAATGCACATTGTTATATTTGGTAACACTTGATTATTTTCCCTCGACTCCAACCCCATTCGATGCATTGAATGGATGTGGGTGGAGCAATGTCTACATAAGGGTGCAAATTATAAACATTCACAAAAGCTCTGACAAAGGCCTTGAGGACGATACGTAAAGCTTAATAAAGAGCAGTGATACTATCAAGAGCGGTGTGCGGGCTTCTTCTATTTTAACATCTTATTCAATTGTTACCATGCACCTGGAACAAAGATAGCTCAGATGTGCGAGTGTCTTTTGAATTTTGAATCTGAGTTTAGCACTGAAAAAAAGTGTAAGGGAAGAGAAATACTTAAAAGTACATTTATATTCAACATTTACATAAAGTTGTTAATTTTATAAGTGGACTGTGAAAATAGAGTTGTATGAAGTAAAGTAATATAAAACCTATGAGCTAACTTAAAGTTAGCATGATTCCTATCACTCTGTTGTGGTTCTCTCTATATTGACTTTCTCCTGTCTGTCTGTCTGTCTGTCTGTCTCCTCTCTCAGATCAGTAAGCAGCAGCTACAGACAGTGAAGGAGCGTTTCCAGGCCTTCCTAAGTGGTGACACCCAGATAGTGGCAGACGAGGCCTTTATCAATGCAGTCCAGAGCTACTATGACGTGAGGCCCAACTCTGTGTGTGTGTGTGTTTTATTTGAGGTCTATGTGGGAGTATGTTTAAGTGTTTGTTGTCTTTTCTGTGGATTTGTATTCCGTAATGATTCTCCTGCTGTTTTAAATGATCCTCAGCGGACGGACCAGTCCGTCTGGATATTTGAATAGATTACTCACCTTTGGTCTGGTAAATTATGTGGAATTCACAGACAGGCTGCTTCCTTCAGGCAATCTTATTAATGTTCTCATCCTGAATCTGACAGATTCAAATGAATTGGACTTCCCAAAATAGGCCTCTGAAATATTCAGTCCAGACAGCAGCTACAGTGAGGGAAAAAAGTATTTGATCCCCTGCTGATTTTGTACATTTGCCCACTGACAAAGACATGATCAGTCTATAATTTTAATGGTAGGTTTATTTGAACAGTGAGAGACAGAATAACAACAAAAAAATCCAGAAAAATTGCATGTCAAAAATGTTATAAATTGATTTGCATTTTAATGAGGGAAATAAGTATTTGACCCCTCTGCAAAACATGCCTTAGTACTTGGTGGCAAAACCCTTGTTGGCAATCACAGAGGTCAGACGTTTCTTGTAGTTGGCCACCAGGTTTGCACACATCTCAGGAGGGATTTTGTTCCACTCCTCTCCCTCCACAGATTTTCTATGGGATTAAGGTCTGGAGACTAGCTAGGCCACTCCAGGACCTTAATGTGCTTCTTCTTGAGCCACTCCTTTGTTGCCTTGGCCGTGTGTTTTGGGTCATTGTCATGCTGGAATACCCATCCACGACCCATTTTCAATGCCCTGGCTGAGGGAAGGAGGTTCTCACCCAAGATTTGACGGTACATGGCCCCGTCCATCGTCCCTTTGATGCGGTGAAGTTGTCCTGTCCCCTTAGCAGAAAAACACCCCCAAAGCATAATGTTTCCACCTCCATGTTTGACGGTGGGGATGGTGTTCTTGGGGTCATAGGCAGCATTCATCCGCCTCCAATCACTGCGAGTTAAGTTGATGCCAAAGAGCTCGATTTTGGTCTCATCTGACCACAACACTTTCACCCAGTTCTCCTCTGAATCATTCAGATGTTCATTGGCAAACTTCAGACGGCCCTGTATATGTGCTTTCTTGAGCAGGGGGACCTTGCGGGCGCTGCAGGATTTCAGTCCTTCACGGCGTAGTGTGTTACCAATTGTTTTCTTGGTGACTATGGTCCCAGCTGCCTTGAGATCATTGACAAGATCCTCCCGTGTAGTTCTGGGCTGATTCCTCACCGTTCTCATGATCATTGCAACTCCACGAGGTGAGATCTTGCATGGAGCCCCAGGCCGAGGGAGATTAACAGTTCTTTTGTGTTTCTTCCATTTGCGAATAATCACACCAACTGTTGTCACCTTCTCACCAAGCTGCTTGGCGATGGTCTTGTAGCCCATTCTAGCCTTGTGTAGGTCTACAATCTTGTCCATGACATCCTTGGAGAGCTCTTTGGTCTTGGCCATGGTGGAGAGTTTGGAATCTGATTGATTGATTGCTTCTGTGGACAGGCGTCATTCATACAGGTAACAAGCTGAGATTAGGAGCACTCCCTTTAAGAGTGTTGTCACACCCTGGCTCTGGGGACTCTATATGTTGAGCCAGGGTGTGTATATTCTATGTGTTGTATTTCTGTGTTGGCCAGAGTGGTTCCCAATCAGAGGCAACGAGTGTCAGCTGTTGCTGGTTGTCTCTGATTGGGAGCCATATTTATAGAGGCTGTTTTCCCACAATAGTTGTGGGATCTTGTTCCAGTTGGTTTGTTCCGTGTTGGTTGTTAACCTAGGACGTCACGTCATTGTTTGTTGTTTTGTTTGTTCGTGTATTCATCAAATAAAGAAGTATGTTCGCTCATCACGCTGCGCCTTGGTCTACTCCGTCTAACGATCGTGACAGAAGATCCCACCATACCAGGACCAAGCAGCGTGTCCAGGAGCAGGCGGCCTGGACATGGGAGGAAGCGCCGGGAAAGGAGCTGGAGAGGTTGTCGATGGCCCAGGTGGGCAAATCGTGGTCCTGGGAGGACATGCTCGGGGGCAAAGGGCCATGGGCTAATATTAAGGCCCTGGCGAGAGAGGAGCAACGGCGTCAACAGTGTCATCGTCGGACGGACGAGAGGCAACCCCAGAACATTTTTAGGGGGGGGGCACACGGCATGGGCGACTGGGCAGTAGGAGGCTGCCACAGGGCGAAATGGGAGACGAGGAGAGAAGGACACCGGGTTACGGGAGCCATTGGTGAGAGGAGGGAAGGAAGTTGTAGAGGCACGGCGAGAGGTACTGAGGTGTATTGCCAGTCCGGTCTGGCCCGTTCCTGATCCCCGTTTAAGGCCAGTGGTGTGTGTTCCCAGTACCGTCCGGCCTGTTCCTGTTCCTCGCACCAAGCCTACGGTGCGCGTCGCCAGCCCGGCCCGGCCTGTTCCTGCTCCTCGCACCAAGCCTCCGGTGCGCATCGCCAGCCCAGCCCGGCCTGTTCCTGCCACTCGCATCAAGCCTACGGTGTGCATCGCCAGCCCGGCCCGGCCTGTTCCTGCTCCTCGCACCAAGCCTACGGTGCGCGTCGCCAGCCCGGCCCGGCCTGTTCCTGCTCCTCGCACCAAGCCTACGGTGCGCGTCGCCAGCCCGGCCCGGCCTGTTCCTGCTCCTCGCACCAAGCCTATGGTGCGCGTCGCCAGCCCGGCCCGGCCTGTTCCTGCTCCTTGCACCAAGCCTACGGTGCGCGTCGCCAGCCCGGCCCGGCCTGTTCCTGCTCCTCGCACCAAGCCTACGGTGCGCGTCGCCAGCCCGGCCCGGCCTGTTCCTGCCCTTCGCACCAAGCCTACGGTGTGCGTCGCCAGCCCCGGCCCGGCCTGTTCCTGCCCCTCGCACCAGGCCTACGGTGTGCGTCGCCAGCCCGGTCCGGCCCGTTCCTGCTCCACGTACCAAGCCAAGGGTGCGTATCGTCAGCCCGGTCCGGCCCGTTCCTGCTCCACGCACCAAGCCAGGGGTGCGAGTCGTCAGCCCGGTCCGGCCCGTTCCTGCTCCACGCACCAAGCCAGGGGTGCGCATCGTCAGCCCGGTCCGGCCCGTTCCTGCTCCACGCACCAAGCCAGGGGTGCGAGTCGTCAGCCCGGTCCAGCCCGTTCCTGCTCCACGCACCAAGCCAGGGGTGCGCATCGTCAGCCCGGTCCGGTCCGTTCCTGCTCCACGCACCAAGCCAGGGGTGCGCATCGTCAGCCCGGTCCGGCCCGTTCCTGCTCCACGCACCAAGCCAGGGGTGCGCGTCGTCAGTCCGGCACAACCCGTGCCTGGGTCACCGGTGCCTGGCCCGGTCCAGCCCGTTCCTGCTCCACGCACCAAGCCAGGGTGCGCGTCGTCAGTCCGGCACAACCCGTGCCTGGGTCACCGGTGCCTGGCCCGGTCCAGCCCGTTCCTGCTCCACGCACCAAGCCAGGGGTGCGCATCGTCAGCCCGGTCCGGTCCGTTCCTGCTCCACGCACCAAGCCAGGGGTGCGCATCGTCAGCCCGGTCCGGCCCGTTGCTGCTCCACGCACCAAACCAGGGGTGCGCATCGTCAGCCCGGTCCGGCCCGTTCCTGCTCCACGCACCAAGCCAGGGGTGCGCATCGTCAGCCCGGTCCGGCCCGTTCCTGCTCCACGCACCAAGCCAGGGGTGCGAGTCGTCAGCCCGGTCCAGCCCGTTCCTGCTCCACGCACCAAGCCAGGGGTGCGCATCGTCAGCCCGGTCCGGTCCGTTCCTGCTCCACGCACCAAGCCAGGGGTGCGCATCGTCAGCCCGGTCCGGCCCGTTGCTGCTCCACGCACCAAGCCAGGGGTGCGCATCGTCAGCCCGGTCCGGCCCGTTCCTGCTCCACGCACCAAGCCAGGGGTGCGCGTCGTCAGTCCGGCACAACCCGTGCCTGGGTCACCGGTGCCTGGTCAGGTACCGGTCAGCTGCTCCACACCGGAGCTTAAGCAATCCGCTCCTACGATGTCCAGTCCAGCTCCAGCCAGCGGGGCCAGACCGGACCAGGGGCGCTACGGGGGGATTATTGGAGGGTGGTGGGCGAGCCCGGAGCCGGAACCGCCTCCGAGGAGGAATGCCCACCCAGCCCTCCCCTGGTTTGTTTATGTTTAGGCGCGGTCGCAGTCCGCGCCTTTAGGGGGGGGGTACTGTCACACCCTGGCTCTGGGGACTCTATATGTTGAGCCAGGGTGTGTATATTCTATGTGTTGTATTTCTGTGTTGGCCAGAGTGGTTCCCAATCAGAGGCAACGAGTGTCAGCTGTTGCTGGTTGTCTCTGATTGGGAGCCATATTTATAGAGGCTGTTTTCCCACAACAGTTGGTTTGTTCCGTGTTGGTTGTTAACCTAGGACGTCACGTCATCGTTTGTTGTTTTGTTTGTTCGTGTATTCATCAAATAAAGAAGTATGTTCGCTCATCACGCTGCGCCTTGGTCTACTCCGTCTAACGATCGTGACAAGTGTGCTCCTAATCTCAGCTCGTTACCTGTAGAAAAGACACCTGGGAGCCAGAAATCTTTCTGATTGAGAGGGGGTCAAATACTTATTTCCCTCATTACAATGCAAATCAATCAATCAGATTTTTTTGTTGTTATTCTGTCTCTCACTGTTCAAATAAACCTACCATTAAAATTATAGACTGATCATTTCTTTGTCAGTGGGCAAACGTACAAAATCAGCAGGGAATCAAATACTTTTTTCCCTCACTGTATGTGTCACGATCGTCGGGAAGAGAGGACCAATGCGCAGCGTGGAATGTGAACATACTTTATTTATCATTCACCACACGAACAAAACAACAAAAGATACGAAACGTGAAGTCCTTGGTTACAACACAAACCATACGGAACAAGATCCCACACATGACAATGCCCAAACGGCTGCCTAAGTATGGTTCCCAATCAGAGACAACAAGCAACAGCTGATTCACGTTGCCTCTGATTGAGAACCACCCCGGCCAACATAGAAACACAAGCACTAGAATATCACCCTAGCACACAAAACACAAAGAAACAACACACCCTGGCTCAACATAACAGAGTCCCAGAGCCAGGGCGTGACAGTATGCGAGGTGCTAACCTGAATCCATGGTCATCCTGTGCCCTTAGCTTTGAGTATGGCTATCCTTCCCATCCAATCAGTCCACCTTCACTCTGAAATCACAGAAAGATGAGGTTTAGAACACTATTTCAAACCTACCTAAAAGTTAGAGAAAAGGAGACAAGAAAATGTAGTGAGCGAAAAGGTGATTTACTCTGCCTGTAGAATTAATCAATGTGGCACTTCAATAAGCCCAAATTAGTGAATTGAAAAAGCTGAAGCAGATTATCCAATTAAATTAAAGCCTAATGGTCTTATTGGCTGAGTTCTTATTGGCTTACACACTCCCCACATCCCCACCTGCTCTGGAAACTGGAGTTGAGACACCTGGGGTGCTCTTTGTAATGCTACTGTATGTGAAGGTGACAATGTCTAGACAACATTTCAGCTCTATTTTCTATATCAGCAGTTCTATATTTAACACTCCCATTTGTACAATGTTCCCTTCTTTTTGGCCCACTAAGAGCACTGCTGCTGTTGCAGAACAAGTCAAGTGTCCAAAGCTGGCTCCAGACAGAGTGATAAATGTCTGTGTATCTGTGTGTCCATCAAGGCTCAGAGCGATGGCCTTCTGTCTTCACCCTGCGTTAGGCACTGATTTGGAACAGAGAGTCTGTCACTGTGAGCCATAAGGAGGTTGCACGGTAGAGAGAGGGCCAACATCTGAGTCAGCCAGCCATTTGGGTCCCTCTCTCTATGTCTCTCTCTTTCTATTTCTCTAACCCACAACCCTTGGCATGGAAAATTGCTTTGTGGGGATTGTGAAAAAAATATATGTACAGCTTGGAATTGAACAGAGTAGCACAACAATGTCAGATTGAATTGAAACTACAATAATTTATTTCCCTCTGCACCTTCATCATAAAGACCCAAAGGCCGCGCTGTAGCAAAGCCTCAAAGAGAGAAGAAGTACTTTTGCAGCTGCGTCTTCATTTCACATCCCTCCAGAAGCAAAGACGTGTCAGCCTGCTACCAGGGCTACTGTACGCAGCTGCAGGGGAGAACGTCTCATAGAAAATAATGGACAATTTCAATTCAGGAATTGAGTTAAAATGGAATTGATCCTAACCTCTCAACCACACTGTATGTTCTTCCCCCTGTATGTTCCTCCTGCCCTGTAATGTTTAATCCACGTGCTTAATGCCCTTTTTCTGCTCTCGACCGTGACAACAGATATTTTTGAAAAGTGACCGTGTGTGCCGGATGGTCCAGAGCGGAGGTTGCTCGGCCAGTGACTCGCGGGAGGTCTTCAAGAAGCACATTGAGAAGCGTGTCCGCAGCCTGCCCGAGATCGACGGTCTGAGTAAGGAGACGGTGCTCAGCTCTTGGATGGCCAAGTTTGACACCATCTACCGTGGAGAGGAGGACCCCAGGAAGCACCAGCAGCGGATGACTGCCAGCGCAGCCTCAGAGCTCATCCTCAGTAAGGACCAGCTCTACGAGATGTTCCAGTCCATCCTGGGCATCAAGAAGTTTGAGCACCAGCTCCTCTACAACGCCTGCCAGGTGAGATAAGAGCTTCAGGTCATGTCCTTTACCAGACATTTGTCTTAAAACACTAACACTTTCCCTGGTGCTGATTTGTCATTTTCACTCCTTTCTCCCGGTCTGATAGTTGACTTGAGCTGCAGTGTCACTCTTTCACCCCTCTGATGGTTTGACTTCAGGCTTGCTTCCTGTTAAGTTCCAATGGGTTGAAATGGTAAAAGTGTGCTGTGAAAACCTTTTAGGGTTATTAGATGAATTGTCACCTGTCACAGGAAAGCACAGCTGGAAGAAGGTGTAGTGAGCCCTTCAGCATGTCTCAAGTCATCATCCAGCCTTTTGTCTGTCCAGGATTAACCATTCAGGTACCACTCACACATGAAGCTGGCCACACAGTATGTGTGTAGTGTGTAGGCCTAGCCATTTTATTATTAAGACCTGTGTATCATTGTAGTCCAGGCCAAGATTGAAATGACTTTTCTGCCATTGCTTAATTCAGTAATGTGCCCTGTCCACGCCCCAGGTTCCAGTGAAAAGGCATGGCCAGCCCATGAACTTTAACACTGCTAGTGACTCATCCTTTGGCAGAGACACAGGAGTCAGCTCTCTTTGTACAGAATCAGAATGAGAATTGTCAGGCCTGTACATTTTCCATCTCCATGTAAATAGTGAAAATGAATTAGCTGTAGGATGTGCTAACGGATAAATCTGCACAGACCTGCTGTGTGTTACATGGAATTAGGTCCGACATTGTGCCATTTTGTTACGAACGGAATTGCCTACCTATTACCTCCTACTGTTTTCTTTGCCCTGTTTTCAAGAATAGGATTTTGTTTTCCTCTGCCACAGTTTGAAGACACAATTACTGTCAATATCAACACCCACTACACATTCAATCTCTGGCACATACACATACGCACACACACACCAGGGTTTCCGTTAGACTGCAAAAGCCGGCTTTTGGCCAATAAAAAAAAACGAAAAACTGTTGCCGGCCAAAATGACCTGCAAAAAAAATTATGCTTTTTATTCATTGATGGGAATACCAGTTGATGTAAATACATTTGACCGTCATGCTTATCGGTCTATAGGTTAATTTTCATAATTTAGTGGAATTAAATTGGCCTGTGTGTATTTTCATTAGTAATCATGAATGTTTTTTATCCAACACAAATATAACACGCACACAGATTTCACCTGCAGCTCCTCAGCTGGTTGCTGCTGGAGTAAAACGTGTGCTTTTATAAGCCCATTCATTGCACAGCTATTCTAAATGCAATCACGTGTTAAAAACAGTTTTGGTGCACGATTAAAAATAGCTATTTTTATTTCTCAACTGGTCATTGAAGCATGACTCCCATTCACCATTCAAGTGTAGGCAACAGGATATCAACGTGTCACACACCACTTTACAATGTGAGCTGGAGGCAGTATACATTTTGAAAACATACTTAATTGTTTGAAATCTGAATGTTTTATTTCATATTATGAGGCTGTTGTGGAAATTACAAACAGGGACACCTGGTCAATATTAAATGAATAATTCTTTATTATCAGCAATCTGGAGAGGTTCTAACAAACGTAATGCTCCATAGTACACGTCGGTCGGGAGCTCTGCCGGGGCAGTCCCGTTAGTTCTCTTATATACTGCTTACACAGACAAGTTATATTTGCATGATTTACATTATTCATCATTAATTCATCGTTAGCGTTTGGTTCATGCAGGTGACCGACCAATACCTCACGAGGCTTCTTCTCTCCAAGCTGAGACCTTGAAACTGAGATACCCCTTTCGGTTCTCAAAGCAATGTTCTGGGCGTACTGCCAAATTGTTTATACACTTTCCTTTTCCGCGCAGCAGGCCATGTACTTCTATGCATGCTCAGGCGCGCGTGCTCCCTCAACATTATCAGGAGAGAGAAAACAGACATATGCTCATTGTTCACATGGAGCACTCCAAACAAAAGACAATAAAAAAAAAAGAACTCGGAAATGATGGTTATGTAATAAACCAAAACTTGTTTCTCACAAGTGTAGCAGGTTGTGAACTCTGGAAACAACGTTTCCACTCTGAGAATGAGAATGGTAAATTACTTTAATTAATACATGCATTAACAGAAATGTATGTAACCAAATTACGAGGATTAACGGTACATTTACTACTGGTGACATTATCTTCACACATGTTTTAGATTATTTTAACTGACAGCCGCAACTCAATTATCAGCTAGGCCTATTGCCACGTGCGCTGCCCAAATTGACGGCTTCCGAAATAGGCATAGGCCTACGAGCTTGTGATTTGAAACAATCCACAGCTATTTTTATAAAGAAGCAAATTATCCTTGATTTCTCTGTGGCTAAGTCATGCTTTCTGGTTAAGTATTTTGAATGATTTTATTTATTTCTGTATAGACAGGAGTAATTATATAATTTGGACCCACCACTATGCCATTTCTCTCCTGTTCTATTGTTTTTCATATCAACTTTATTTCGTTGTCCAGAAGCCAAAGGCACAATCCTAGTCATATTAGCAACCCATCCTAGCTGTTGCATCTTTAGATTTCCCCTCTTTCTACATTTTTCTAACAGAGATTTTTTATCTCTGTCATATATGGAACCGCTAATAGGTCCGCTGTTTAGAATGGTGTTTTCCCAGGTGCGCTGTTTAGAATGACGTTTTCCCGCTAATTGGACTTTGGCAAATGTTTGAAAATGAAGTTTTATTGGCTGCTTCATTACATGAGTTGCATGTTCTGTTAAGCATTACCATAATCTAAATGCGATTTCTGTCATTCTGAGCACCGTGGGTGGATGCCCTAATGGATTATGCACCCAATGCATATGGGTCCGGTAAATTTCTCAAATGGCCGGTAAATTAAAATCTTCACGTTTTCCGGAAACCCTGACACACATACATGTATACAGTATTTTTTACTATCCTTGTGGGGACCTAAAATGTATTTCCATTCAAAATCCTGCTTTCCCTAACCCTAATTCTAACCATAAACCTAACCCCTAAGCCTAAAATAGCCTTTGTCCTCATGGGGATCTGGGAAATGTCCCCACGAGGGAGAATTTCCCTTGTTTTACTATCATTGTGGGGACTTTGGGGGATTTCCGGTACCCCCCCCCCCCCCCCCCCAACACACACAGACAGACATATTCATATTGGCGCCACACACACACACACACAACCATGCATGCATATTAACGCCACACACACACACGCATACATGCATACATATATACATTCACATTCCTACACACACGCTCCTGCTACTCTCTGTTTACTCTCACTTTACCCCTACCTACATGTAAATATTACCTCGACTACCCCGTACCCCTAAACATTGACTTGGTACCGGTACTCCTTGTATGTAGCCTCGTTATTGTTGTTTTTATCCTGTTACAATTTTTCCTTTAGCTTATTTAGCAAATGTTTCATACTATTGTTTTTTTACTCTGCATTGTTGGTTAAGGGCTCATGAGTAAGCATTTCACTGTAAGGTCTACACCTGTTGTATTCGGCACGTGACAAATACATTTTGAATTGATTTGACACTGTCATGACATGTCAAATGAGGCCATTCTGTGCCAGCTGCTGCTGTGGGCGTCAGATTAAGTGGTTGAAGGACAAGAACAGCTGTCATCCGTGTCCCTACTCGGGTACCTGTCATCATGTACCTTAGGGTTGTGTGTTGAATGCTTTTGAAGGAGATTGAGAGACAGATGGTTCCCTCCCATCACATTGTGTGTGTGTGTGTGTGTGTGTGTGTGTGTGTGTGTGTGTGTGTGTGTGTGTGTGAACCTCTCCCTCTGCAAACCGAAGGCCAGTAGTGCAATTCATAACTATGTAAACCTTTCTGTGAAGAAACAACCTCAGTAACTGACTAAATTAAAATGAGAGGCCGTCTCACCGCTGTGTGTAACCTATGACAGTAGCCCGAGACTCAAAGTCTTCTGATTAATGTGTTTTAGCCTGTAAAGATGACTTCAGTTAAGGAATAAATTGAAAAAATGCATAAATTGATTTTCCGCCCTGTGTGGCGGGTGTGTGCTCTGGGTGTGGGTGGAACAGCGTGGGTGTTGTTCCTTTTTATCAGATGGGGTTTGGTGTTATGGATGTGGTTGTGCCGACCGCCTGGCACTGTTTTAATGAAAGCCTGTAATTGGTAAGAATGGTATCTTTATTAATCCAGCTCTGGTGAGGTGGATAATTTGCCTTCAGCTCTACTCACACAACACACTCACACAACACAAACACACACCTTCCGGTTGCCAGTTGTCTGGTAACCTTCTGCCCACTGGTCTGCCTCTCTAACTTCAAGGATACATATGCCCCATATAAACACTGTACATAAAGCCTGTGGAATCGGTTAACTATAAAACAATATAAAAACATCAACGCAAACAGTTGTTTGTTTGACAAAAACATTTTGCCTACCCCAGCACACAGACAATTTGAGAAGTCTAGCAGAAGTTCCTTTTTATCAGTTATTTTCCACTTGAGGTGGTACAGAAAAACAACAGCCATCATCAGAGTGAGTCTTTAGATGTTTCTGTTAGATGTATAACTAACTCAAGTCACTTGCTGGACACCTCATTGAATATGTATGAGAGAGATCAAACCCAAAGAAAGGACACCTATATTTTAGAATTATAAACAAGGCCATCAACACAACAATTTGAAAGCCAATTCTATACATACATTTGCGGTGATTACAGAAATGGGAGAGATGGGGAAGTAATATGTCCTCCATTTTCATCAAAGACCTTGCTGCTATCGTACAACAAACAGAGATCTGTCTGAAAGCTTTGAAGTAGATCTCAATGCTGGACTTTGTTTTGGTCTAGACTGTGTGGTACTGTATGTTGCTATGCTCACAGTGTTTGTGTGTGTGTGTTTGTCTTTGTTTGTGAAACCTTTCTGCTGTCAGTCAGACACAAACACCATGCCCTTTCTTTGCTCATTCATGGTTCCCATGGCGACAGTAAACATGGCCATCTCTCTTTCTCTCCCTCCCCTGTCA